CTTCATATGTCCACCCAGCAGTAGCAGGATCCTGGGCCCTGTTCATTATTATTCCACTTTCTACAACTTGGATGTTTCTGTGCATATGTGGTTCTGAGTGCATCTGCCTTTGGTGTAGCATCTCTGAAGTGGACTGCTGTCAGCTTTTTTCTCAGTTTATTTTTTTATATAACAGCGAAGTATCTCACCAGTTCACTCTCCTTGCGTGATGAMTGTGTGATGCAGAGCCTGGCTTATACAGTATGTGCTTGGCATCAGTGCCACAGCTGCTAGCCATTYGTGGCTGGAGTTATGAAATAGGAGCTTCAAAAGGCTACGTGGGAGAGCATAACTCGCAGCGAKATACCACTACCTCGATGGGGTTACAAAAGTAGCCTTAAGTTTTGCTATGGTTCTTAAACCTCTCACTACTCTGGAGCTCAATCCCAATAAAAGGATCTCGWTTATAAGCGCAAAGAACAAAAGAGGAGTATGTGGATAATTAYAGATGAAAGCCTGAATGGCAGAACCCACAAAAGCCCCCTTTCTGGCCACTAGTTTCACCCACTCAACTTTACAAAGCTCTGCTTTTGTTTCCCATGCAAACCTTGTTTGGGTCTCAGGGATTTTTTTTTGACTTCTGAGATCAACAAATCAAAGTTACATCTATAATTATGCAGCCTTGATAAGAGGGAAACAAATGCTGGTGGTCTTCTTGAGTTTTCTGACTCTTTTTAAAAATCTTATTTCACTTGTTTTTTTTTTATATGGAACGTGACAAACATGAGCAAGTTAAGTCGTTTTTCATTTAGGCATCACAGCCACAATTTTGGACTWTACTTTGTAATATAAGATGCTACGTTATTTAAGCTACCAGAAGAAAAATGATGCACGATCTCAAATGTACGGAATATGCCTGTAGGCTCTGAAATGAGTCAAATCATTGTGGTGTAAGTAAATATTAAAGAAGTGTGTCAGAGTCAGTGAATAAGACATTTAATTACTAGTTTTGTGTCTTTATTSTCTTGCAGCTGTGACACGACGGCAGCCAGGATCCCTCAGCTCCTCAAAACAGCATCGTATGGCTTTGTAGAGTTAGACATCAGCCACACTCAGACCACAGCATGAAGGTGTCAGGCCTGCTCATCGCTTGCTCCTGTTTCATCTTAGGAAGCATGGGAAAGGCAGTATTCCCAGGTAAGTCATTGTGCAGAAAAAGCAAACATCTCCAGCTTAAATGGCTTTTTATAGTTTGACAGGAGACACTTTGAACAAACAGGAAATTTCCAAAGTTTCTGGAACATTCTTCTCGATTTTTTTTAAGGAAGCTTAGCGTTCCGTATGAATTTCCTGTTTTAAAAGAAACGGGTGGATACTTTAGCAGCTGAGTTCAGTTTGTTGACACCACAGAGAAAAAACACAGGATTTCATTAGTTAAATATTATTAAAACTTATCTTGCTGCACTGAAATTGGCTCTTTTCCCCAATAACAACTTCTTGTTTCTAACATTTGAACTGTAGAGGCTCACCCAGAGTTATGCTGCAGTAACGTTGCTGTAGTTCAAGCTGTAACTGGAGTGTATTTTTTCAGTTAATTACCTCTTCGTCCCTTGAGGTGTGTGTTTCACCCACATTAATTTACAAATGAACTTATGCGAACATTTAACAGTGTTCAATACCATCATTCTCATTAGAAAGTTGTTATTTAACTCTTAAATTACAATTTTAGCTATGCAGAATAAGTTTTATATGTATTTTTTTCTGGCTTTCTGATAAGCTGAGTTTCTGTATTTTTAAAGTTTGTTCTCCTTCGAGCCAAAGACCTCTCCATWTGTCCTTTTGAAGTTGTGGCATTGTTGCTGAGAAGACACTATCGAGTTTTAAAAAGTAGTTTATAGCTTTAGGGAAATTCTTCCAATCAGCTGTGGAGAATGGCATGTTTTCCATCTGGAAGTCTTGAAATTTCCTGTTTGATCTGAATGCAAGTACAAATCTATCAGATATTTACATTTGAGTGATGTAGCTGTTTCTGTTAAAAGGTACTCATTGCAAAGAATGAAATCAAACATAAAAATGTTATCTTGGACTCTATCAAAATGGTGGAGGTTTGAAAGCGTTTACTGCAGTGGTTTACCAGGTAAACTGATATGTATTTCTGAAAGCTACACAGTGTAAACAAAGCACTTTGGCTGAATCTCCTGACAACCCTGTGGAGATCTGACTCCAGTGATTGACCTACAATAGACCGCCATGGTCAGTGAATGTAAACAAACCTGTTGCAGGGCCCTCACTCTCGTGAGATTTTTTCTTCCAACAGACACAGAGCTGTCAGCCGGGACTCATCTAGATCCATTTTCAATTTAGTTTCCCTCATTCTAGATGTGGCGGGTGCTGTGTGATAATAATTACCAACTTAAATTCAAAAGCACTGTTTTAGTAAAAATAAGATTGATTATAATAACTCCACTTTAAAGTTACTTTAAGGCACGCAGACCCGCTTACAGATGAGGCTTGAGACGATTTCACAATTCCATAAGTTTGTTTATTATACCCCGATTTTAATTCAAAAATACGTACTTAAAACCTCTCACACATTAAAAATCAGTTCTGGCTCAACTCAGGGAGGAGTGAAATTCAGGGTAGTGTCCTAAAGAAAAGAGAAACCCAGCAAACGGAACAAAGCAAACAAAAGAAAATCGTGCACCAAACCAGTAGGAGTACCACCACCCGGAAAGTCCACCACCAACACCACGAGCTGGCCATTCCTGTAAAAATAAAAGAAAGGCACTTTCAAATTACAAACGATAAAATACCAATCGGTCCACAATCAATCAAGCAGTAATAGTCCGAATTCAGAAAGTCCGTCCTGGAAGGAACCGATCCGTTGTAACAGACACCACTCAGGGCGGCACCAGAAGGGTAGTCGGAGCTGATCACCAATCAGGCCAAATCAGCCACACTGGACGAGTGATAGGAGCCAGCTGTACGCCGACCAGGACGGCGAGCCCCAAAATCAGCACACAGGACGACAGGTAAGTGGCCGACAGACGGACCGCCAGTTGGGGACAACCAGAACAGCAGACAAACAGTCGGCCCAGGACAAACAGTCGGCCCAGGACAAACAGTCGGCCCAGGACAAACAGCAGCGGCTATCAAAAATAAATGTTAGAAATAGAATCTATAAAGCATGCAAAAACTAGCAGTTCACTCACCACWTGAGCTTCTTTAAGTAGTGCCTCTAGCAGGGAAGGAGGAACTGGGAGCGTGTGCAGGCGGCCTGGATATGTAACAAAAGCTAAGCTAAAGCTAAGCTAACAAATTTCGAGTGTGTGAAGATCCTTACCAGAAGGACGATTGATCGGCGATCAGAGCGTCATTAAGCACATTGTTCACGTGCGCATTACTTTGCAGCTGTTATACAGAAAATGTAAATAAATCACAAGTAACAAGCTTGATTGAGAGAGATGAAGCCTGCCTTACCTAGCATGCGGCACCAATAAACGCCGCGGTCTGAACCGGAAGGAGAACAGCGTAAACTCAACCAGGTGAGGGAGGGCCCTTTATAAACAGGCAGCCAGCGCCACGACCAGTTAGATGCAGGCACYTGCGTGGTGCGTTCAAAGCCTACAGGGCATACTGCCACATAAAGCTGTTTCTTTTGGGAGAATTTCCACAATTATTTTTTTATTTTTGCTGCAGCATGAAAACGTGTTGTAGCTGAGCTTCAGTTCAGTTCAGCTCCTTTATTGCCCCGCAAAGGGGAAATTAGTTTTGCAGCCAGGCATTACAACTGTAGATGGAGTTAAAAACAGACGGCACCAATTCATAAATATATAAAATGAAAAAGAAAAATCCTTGGTTTTAATATTAATATTCTGCTTTGTGCTCATATTTATTCACCCTTTTTATGAGTTTCTTGAATCTCTGAATATCTACTAAATTCTTCACATTTATTACACTCAGCGTTTTCAAAGAAAAACCTTCAACTGCAGCTTTATGCAACTGTGAAAATCTAACCAGATCTGCTTGCTTTATAACCCAGAACAAGAGAAAGATCCTAAGTTCTGGAACTCAATGGCTCAGCGGACCCTGAAGACCGCGCTGTCGTTCCAAACTCTCAACAAAAACACAGCAAAGAATCTCATCTTCTTTCTCGGTGACGGTAAGCCACGGCGAGAGGTTAATGTTTTTAAGTGATGTGAAATAAAGTTGAAAGGCAAAGCGAGGTCCTTTATGATTTTAGAATTTTTTTTTTTAAATTAGGCTTGAAAACTATAAAAGACCCATGGAGGCTGGAGACGAGAAGCAGAAGTTTTCTAACATGAAGTGCATGAACGGCAGCCGACAAAGCTGCCATGAGATTACTGAGCTCCTGTTTGTGTTGGGACGCTCGCTGGTTCCACAGAAACCTTTATCCTCCATCGCGCCTCAGCTGTCTTTCTGCCATGCTCACTCAGCGTGACATTCTTGCATTTTCCTGTGTTCATGTTCAAGTTTGCTCATTTACAGAATGCCAAGAAAAAAGAGAGTGTTGAACTAGAAAATGTTTGACAAGTAAAATCTCTGTTAACTGAGGATAACGACAGACATCCGTTTAAAGATTCTGCTGCACCGTTTCCTCTGAGAACCTCTGAGCTGCAGGTTTTGGTGAACATTTAGAGCTTCAAACATGCAGGAAAATTTTTAACAACACTGTTATCCAATTAAACTAGAACAACAGAGCTGTTTCAACAGATTGTTACATCGGCATGCTTTAAACCAGGGCTATTCAACTGGCAGCCCGCGGGCCACATCCGGCTCGCGAGTGACCAAAGTTAGGCCCGCCAATTTGTTCATTCATCTCTTAAGCCCAAACCCCCGGTTTTCTACTTTAATTACTGAAAGTTCTTTTARTTGGACATGGATATGTTTGGTATTTACAGAAACATCAGAATCTTGGCTACAAGCTGGTTAAAAACCATTTCTATGAACATCCAAGACAGTTAAAACTACAAGTAGTTAAGATAAAACTATGAAAGTCAAAATAAAATTGGTTTAAAAATTTGGCAAGTCAGAGATTTCAAAATATTGTTTGTGTTAAACAGGAGGCACAATGWGTTATTTTTGTTTTTGATATTGTTTTATTATCAGTACTTTTATATCGTTCTGTATGTTTTATTCGTGATTAAATACAGCAAAATAAACAATTTCAAAGGTAACAGATCTTTGTAATAATTGGTTTGTTTATGATTTTAATTGCTGGATGTTCGGCCCCTGAGCTGTTGGCCTGCAGTAACTGTGGCCCCCGGAGCAATTTAGTTGAATAGACCTGCTTTAAACTGTTTATTTCAGGCGTTCGTGTTTGAAATATAAACACAGGGAAGTTATGAAAACTCGAATTATTCTCCACATTTACAATATTTATGTCATTTCTATCATCCTTAAACTTGTGTTCTCACACCTTACTGTGAATATCCTCACTTTTTGGTAGAAATAACCAAAAAGAAAAACAGAACAGGAGAGTTAAATTTCTCCCTGCAGGGATTTCCACTTCTTTGCAACCATTATAGTGTTTCTTTTTGTGAGTTAGAGAAAACGTTTTGCTTGGCAGCAGTCATCCGTGTCTAAAATGCCACAGAAAACATTCTCATTTGATGCAAACAGGGAACAATAAGAGAGAATGAAAAGCTTGAATGTTTATAACTGTGGGGTTCCCCGCTGAGACAAAAATCAATCTCAAAAGCCAACCTGCTTTTTTTGTGTTTAGGGATGGGCGTCCCAACTGTGACGGCGGCTCGAATACTGAAGGGTCAGCTGAATGGAGAGAGTGGAGAAAATACTCAGCTGGAGATGGAAAAGTTCCCCTTTGTCTCTTTGGCTAAGGTCTGATTATTGTCTTCATTGAGAGAAAAAACTAATTTAGCTGTAACCATTAATGCTTTTTGTAACAGATCTGATAAAAAAAAAAGATGCTGCAAGGATTAAAAGTAAAACACGAGGGATTAAAGCCTGAAAGACCCAGTTAATCGATTACACAATCCGGTTTGCTTTCATAGTCCAAAAACAAACAACTGCCCCCAGCCCAAAAAAAAAGAAAAAAAAAAAGAAAAAAAA